CTATTAGCTCCATTTTAGAGAGAAAGAACAGAGGCAATAAAATTGCAGCAGTGTGGATGGCGCAGGAAAGGATTATGCTAGTGAAATAAGAAAGAAGGAAAAAGAGAACTGTCAGATGGTTTCACTTATATGTGGAATATAGAGAAACGAAACAAAGGGTCAGAAAAAAGACAAAACTTGCAAGCCTACCATAGATGTGAGGCTTAGAGGGGAGGGAGAGGTGACAAAACATGGGAATATGTTTTTTGATATGTTCATTTTATCATTTTTTGCTTTCTTTTACAGATGATGCTTTTGGTATCATCTCTAGAAAATCTTTCCATAACCTAAGGTCACAAATATACTTTTCTGTGTGTTTTTAAAATTTTTATAATATTGGGTTTTAAATTTATAATCCTGTTTTCACCTGCGATACAGATCTGGGTTGAAATTGAAATAATTTTTGTTTTACATACTGATATCCAATTGTTCCAGCATCATCTTTTGAAAAGACTATCCTTTCTCTATGCCCACAAGAGACTAGTAATGGATAAGGGGTGCAATGTTCATGGGATATCAACAGGGACTACATATGAAGGGAGAAATAATATACTGTACAAAAATAAACCACAATGTAAGAAAGTAAATAAATTTAATTTAAAAATGTGACAAACTGCCCAATATCTAATATGACTGCTATATTAACCAATTAGATTATTAAAATAAGTATACAGTGAAACAGAATAGGGTTCAATATATAACCACACATATATGGGCAACTCATTTTTTTTATTACAGTATAAAGGTAAGTCATAGAGAAAGGACAGTCTTCAAAAAATGATGCTGGAACAATTGGATATCAATATGTAAAACAAAAATTATTTCAATTTATAAAAATTCTAAAAACACACAGAAAAGTATATTTATGACCTTAGGTCATGGAAAGATTTCCTAGAGATGATACCAAAAGCATCAACTGTAAAAGAAAGCAAAAAATGATAAAATGAACATATCAAAATTACGAACTGCTCTTTGAAAAAAAAAGTGAAAGGCATTATTCATTAGGTGAAAAGAAAATCCAATGATTGGGAGGGAATCTTTGAACAGCAATTGTATTCGATAAAGGACATGTATTCAGAATTTATATAAAGAATTCTCAAAACTCAATAGTAAGACAAATAAAACCCAACTTAAAATATGAATAGATAGGCCCTCCCTGGTGGCACAGCGGGTTGAAGCACTGCACTGAGAAGCTAAAGCCACTTCCGCAGAGTTCGATTCCCGCCTGCCCCGGAGGTGACCACATGGCGTGGCAGACCTCTCCTGACCCGCCCGCTGCTCCCCTCAGCAGTGTACTTCGTCGATCTGTCTGTTCTGCTCCCCACTCTGTCTCTGGTGAAGCCTCTCGCCACCCCTGAGCCTCTGGCCTGTACCCCAGTTCTGTATGTACAAATAAATAAATATTAAAAAAATATGAATAGATATTTCATCCAAGAAGATATGGGGTAACTCCATACAAGAAAGATGTTCAATTAGTGTTAGTCATTAGTCATTAGGGAAATATAAAGGAAAACTAAAAGAGATACATGCCTATTAGAATAGCTAAGTTTGAAAACACTGACAAGCACTTTCATAGTAATACAAAATTGTACTTTGGAAAACGGGTGATTTCTTAAAAAGTTAAATACATGTACCATTTTATCCAGTCATTCCACTTATAGATATTTTTATAAAAGAAATTAAAACATACATCTTACAAATATTTATATACAAATTAATATGTCAGCTTCATTTATTTTGTCAATTAGTATATTGTTGTATCTTCTATGTGCCAGGTACATGTAGTAGAAGACACCAATCAAATGGTAAATAAAAACTAATTGACTAGCTGCAGGCTCAAAACAAAACTTGAAAACACAAATTACAATATATCTAAGTAATGGTTCATCAACAAGACATAAAAATGAGTCTTGATGCACACAATATGGATGAACCCCATAATAATTATTCTAAATAAAATAAGCTAAAAGAGGGACATATTACATGATTCTATCTGTGTAACATCTAAGAATGGGCAAACTATTCTATACAAAGAGAAGATCACAGCTGTCTAAGGACACATAAAAGGATTATAAAGAGGCATGAAGTAACTATTAGGGATGCTAAAAATTGTTATTATTTTTGACTATGGTGATGACTTCACAGATATATAGACTTATCAAGACATCAAATTATATACATTATGTACAGTTGTTTCTCTTTTTTTGCTCTATTATACTTCACTAAAACTAATTTTAAAAAGATAAAACTTGCATAAATGAACTAACAAAAATAAGAATAAAAATATGTCCAAAAAAATTAACTTGTAATACTGGCTTCTTAAACACCTACAACAAAATATGATGCTTTAGCGCTTGTCATTATATATTATGTATCTGTGTTTGTGTGGCAGAGGTGGTGAGTAGAGCTACATTTTTATTCGTAACAGGAAAGGTGTAAACAGATGTACAAGAGTTATGTTCATTCTGGGTTTAACAATATATCCTGTGTTAAACATTATCTCACATAGAAGTATGAACATTTAACCCCCAAACAGAATACCATAAAATAATGGAACAGAGTACACATCATTATGCAATTAGTCTACAGATAGCCCTAGGAAGAAAAATAAGCATGTTGGATTCTCAAACTAAATAAAATACTTACAGTAGAAAATAGCATTATGCATAAATTAAATCCATTATATAAAAAGTTATTTTCTTTTAGGGATCTATCAACTAACAGATAAAAAGGTCCAAAAATAAAAGTCTACTATGAGAAACATAAGATAGTACATATATATATACATATATGTGTGTATATATATATGTGTGTGTATATATACACACATATATACATATACATGCATATATATGAAGTAGACCACTGGTTAGAAGTTACCCATAGTGTATGTTTTAGGGAAAGAAATATGTCAAAATTGATAATCAGAAAACTTTATATTATCTGTTTGAGGTTTTCAGAAGATTTTTTTTTCCTTTTAGTCTCCCTGTTCCAATCCAAACGTTTCTAGTATCAATGTGAGTGATTAAGTACTTAACACTTAAAAAGCATCTAAAGAACAGTCCAAATGGATAAATTTAGAATGGAAGATGTAATCGAGACAATATCATAAGCTGAAACAGGTATTTTTTTTTAGAGTCACAGTTGTTTTAAATCAAAGCCAGTATTATTTTACCTTTAGAATTTCAACACCAATTAATTTTTCCCTTACTTGGGTGGAAAATCAATCAAGGATATGAATAGGTGATTCTCAAATGGACAATAAGCATATGAAAAGACATATGCTTATGAAAAGACAGTCAATCTTACCACTAATCTAAAAGATAAATACATACATAATTTGGAGATATTCACTAAAAAATAAGACTAGTGATTACCTTTCAGTGCTTTTTGTTTGTTTGTTTAGTTACTTTTGTTATCTGGGTTTTAATGTACTATCTGACTTTTTCAATTAATATATATCTTTTACACAAAATATAAAGCTATTTAAAAACTGCCTCAGTTGTTTGCAGAAAAAACATGGTCAACAGAGCAGAAGCAACTTCAGAAACAGACCTAATCAATTTAGTTAATAAAAGACAATGGTGGTATTTCAAATAAGTATTAGCAGAAAGATTATCAAATAATGGCTCAATAAAAACTATTTAGCTAGTGGAAACATATTTAAAATATCTGGATTCACAACTAATTGCTTATTCCAATGTTATTTCCTGATGACACAAAGTTTAATATGTATATGATGCCACTGAGATACTATAAAAATTAAAATCATTCATTCATAAATTTTCATCATTCTGAATGAAAATAATAAGTTGCAGAACAATATTTAAGGCATAACTTCATTGATTAAAATCACTGCTTTCATATTATCTGTTTTGATTTAAATTATAAAATGAAAGCAAACATACCCAGCACAGTAAGTTTTCATTCACCGTTTTATTGCAATCCTCTGCCACATGTACCTGGCACATAACAGGCACACAAATACATATTAATTGAAAGACAAAAGAAATATATTCTTACACAGTGTTGGTGGGACTGTAAATTTGTGATAAATTTTTTAGAGAAAGATTGACCATATGTAGCAAAGAATAAAATGAGCACACAATCTATTCCAGCACTCTTATTTCTAGGAATTTATCCTATAACTAATTTTCACAGATGCATATAGTAGGTAACCAGGGTTAATTTTTTATATCAGGTGAAAAATGTGTATGTTAGTGGAGAGATGCTGTGGGAAGTAGTTGCTATAAAACAGATATTTGGTTAAATAAATTAGGCAAATATTTCTTTGGGCTATTGAATTTATTTTAACCATAAGATATTAGTCATTCACCTTAGAGAATATTTAGTAATTTCACTGTATTAAAATTCATAACTGATACATAAGCAGATTATAAAATACTATATATGGCACATATATAAAACAGTGTATATAGAGGCAGGTGTGTATATGCACAAAGAAATCTCTGGAAAGAAATTTTAACAATGGTTATAATTTTGTTGTTAAGATTGTGTATTTTTTCTATCACTGGATTTTCTATATTGTATTTTTTCTTTACGGTGCTTATATGCCTTGGCAATTAAAAAATAAAAAGAAAAATTCACTTAAAAAAAGAAAAGTACTTCCTAACTTTTAAAAACTATGTGACCAAATTGACAAAGCACAAATCTTATAGTTAAAGATTAATGCAACTTTAATACTTTTCCTCCTTTTGAAGTAAGTCATGACATTTTATATTTTAATTTATTATTCATATTCAGTGAGTAGGTTTAAATACTGAATGTGATTAATTAAGTTATTTTTCTACATTAGTATCACTGCTGTTTTTTTTTCTGCTTCCACAGAAATACTATTTATTCCAATTAAGTTAAAAAAAAAAAACTATATACCGTGAGTTTTTATTTAAATACAGACAGGTACATTCTTTTCATAAAAATGGGCTAAATATGTTCCTTACCTTTCAATGAAAAGTAAACACTGGTCTTTTTGGTTGTACCAAGGTAGTTGTTCTGTAGCAGAAAAGAATCCTGCAAATAAAAATAGCAGATACCTGTTTTTAAACTTCATTTTCTAAACGTTTATTCACATATTACTGGTCTTGTAAATCATACTGTAGTATGACTATAGATGGGTGGCAGATGACGTTGTAAAGTATACCCTGCTGTTCGAAGAACTGAAAACTGCTCTAGAAAAGTATAAAGCAAACGGTCTGCTGTCAAATATCACCTAACATTTGGATGCCTTTTTATTTTTATCTACAACGTTGTTAGAATCAGTGAGGGCTAGCTACGTAGCAAGGTGGGGGTATACTATATAATAGCTTAAAGAGAAATATAGTAAAAAAAAAAAATGGTGTAACTGACTCACGGCAACTTGGGTTCGCAAACCTTGTAGATGAAAACGAGGCTTGCCAAACATCACAGACAGCTCTTATTAAAACCGCTACGTGGGGTGTGGAACGCAATAAGCCTGCTTTCTAGCCCCTCCCCTTGCCAATAAACGACACCCTTTTCTCCAGTATAGAAATAAATGCTTACAGAATATTTAGATAAGATAGAGATTTTTTTTAAAAAATCATTCATAATCACACTACCCGGTGATGCCATTTGGAGTATTTTCATCCAATTTTTTAAAAAACAGATTTTTGTCAAGAGGCAAATCAAACGGGAATTCAGGAAGAGCGGATGGGTAAAAGATACTTCTCTTCCCTTGTTAGGAACTATGACTAATATTTTTTACCTCATCTCTAAGCTTTTTTGAATTATAAAACACAAAGATTTTTGAGGATAAAAATAACGTCTTCCAGAGGTGTGCGTCTCAGCTACCACCGAGCGTCTGGGAAGATGGGCGGGGCGGGGGGGGGGGAGAGAGGTCGTTGTTGAGGTTGGTTAGCTATTGGCTGCTGGCGATGTCAATCAAGTTTTCCCAGCAAATGAGGTACGAGCTAAAGGCACACTGGGAACTAAATTAACGGGCAGTCTGACTGAAAGGGGAGGGGGCTTGCGAACCGTGAAGATATTTGGGGTCTCTCACTGCGCCATTCGGTTGCGGCAAGCCTCCGTCTGGTGCAGCTGCATCTGGGAGAGACTTTGCCATCTCTACTCTCACCCCGGCCTCCGCTGCCGTTTCCACCTCAGCGGAATCGCTGCAGCCCATCCTCGCCCAGCCCTGCCGCTACTGCTGCCTTCGCCGCTGCCACCTTCGCAACCCGTGCGCCTGCCGCCGCCGCCGCCGCAGCATCCGTGAGTCTCTTTCTGCCCATCTCCGGGCGCGCGATCTCTGCGGTAGTCACCACTTTAAGAGGTTTGCAGGCTTGCAAAATGGCAGAAGCTGATGCTAACATGGTCTCGGAACCTGCGGCCCAGGGGGTTGCCGAAGAGGTGATGGCTAGTTCATCTAGTGATTCTGGGGAAGAATCTGACAGCAGTAGCACTAGCAGCAGCAGCAGTTGCAGCAGCAGCAGTAGCCGCAGCCGCTTGTATAGAAAGAAGAGGGTACCTGAGCCTTCCGGAAGGGCGCGGCGTGCCTCAGCGGGCAGAAATTTTGTGGATCGGCTGCCTCAGGCAGTTAGAAATCGCGTGCAGGCTCTCAGAAATATTCAAGATGAATGTAACAAGGTAGACACGCTGTTCTTAAAGGCAATTCATGATCTTGAAAGAAAATATGCTGAACTCAACAAGCCTCTGTATGACCGGCGATTTAAAATCATCAATGCCGAATATGAACCCACAGAAGAAGAATATGAATGGAATTCAGAGGATGAGGTGTTCAGCAGTGACGAGGAGGTGCAGGAAGACAGCCCTAGTGAAATGCCTGCCTTAGAGGGTGAGGAAGAAGACGACCCTAAAGAAGAACCTCCAGTAAAAGCTGAAGAAAACGAGATTCCTAAAGAAATCCCTGAGGCAAAGGCTGAAGAAAAACCGGAGTCTAAAGATTTTCTGGAAGAAAAGCCTGATGTAAAAGAAGAGCCTAAAGAAGTCCTCCAAGCAGAGGCAGAAGATAAAGAACAGCCTAAATCAAAGGAGAGTGAGACAAGGGCTGCAGTTAAAAAGTCTCCTAAAAGAGCACCAGAGGTCAGGCCTAAGGAAAGAGTGAATCTTAAAAGAGCTCATAAGGGAAAGCCTAAAAGAGAAGATCCTAAAGGCATTCCTAATTATTGGCTGATTGTGTTAAAGAATGTAGACAAGCTTGGTCCCATGATTCAGAAGTATGATGAACCCATTCTGAGGTTCTTGTCAGATGTTAGCCTGAAGTTTTCAAAACCTGGCCAGCCAATCAGTTACATGTTTGAATTCCATTTTCTGCCCAATCCATATTTCAGAAATGAGGTGCTGACAAAGACTTACATGATAAAATCAAAACCAGATCACAATGACCCCTTCTTCTCCTGGGGATGGGAAATTGAAGATTGCAAAGGCTGCAAGATAGACTGGAGAAGAGGAAAGAATGTTACTGTGAAAACCACCCAGAGTCGCACAACTGCTACTGGAGAAATTGAAATCCAACCAAGAGTGGTTCCTAATGCATCATTCTTCAATTTCTTTAGCCCTCCGGAAATTCCTAAGATTGGGAAGCTGGAACCAAGAGAAGATGCTATCCTTGATGAGGACTTTGAAATTGGTCAAATTTTACATGATAATGTCATCCTGAAGTCAATCTACTACTATACAGGAGAAGTCCATGGTCCCTATGATTATTATGGCAACAGGAAAAATCGAAAGTAAAGCAGCAGCTGTTTGAAAGCATATTCTAGAATCTCAAAATTCAAGCAGAAGTGAAGCAGGTTTATATAGTCTTGGAAATAACCTGTCCTAGAACCTCAGCACTAATATTGCTTACTGTATTGTGTTTTTGTAATTTCTTGGTAGTCTATAAATTGTCCTAAAAGGTGTTTAAGTATCAGTTTATCAATCTAGCCTGTTGTGGTTTATGTAATAGTTTTACATATATGTCAACTGCTATTTAGTTATCTTAAGCATGTTAGTTAAATGATAGTGTTGATTTTGGTGAAGTCCTTTTGTCATGTTCTTATTAGAATTTAGCTATGAAAACTGTTGAAATTGTTAACTGTGAGAAACATTTGCTTGAAAAAAGACAAGTTCTTGAGTACCAACACAAGTGTTGTTTTTTTTTTCCCTTTTTCTGATCCAGAAGACTAGGATTCATATCTGCTTGTACTAGCTGTGCCTTCATTACTTTGCTATAGAAATGCAGTAATTAAATTAACTAGCAACAGTATATTGTGAAATTTGGCTGCTTGAAAAAAGATTACTATACATCTAAGAATGTTCATCAAAACTGTATAGAATATGACTGTGAACTGGTTTATGTGACATAAGTGTATAATTTCATCATAATGAAGTTATTATTCACCACTGAGGTGTTAATATGACATGATGTTTTATAAAAAAAAGTTTCCTTATCTTCAACTGTGTAATTGTAAGTTAAAGTTACTAATCACATTTTCTTAGTAATATGTTCTACTTTGCTGTTACTAAAAATCATCACTTTACATAATTGATATTTTTTTGTGTTCTTTTATTGCAACCTTAAATAAATGTCAATAAAATGTATTGTGCTATAAAAATGTGGTGCTTATTATAGGAAAAGAAAATATTGAGGAAAAGGGGGATTTTTTATCTTAAAATATTTTTCCTTTACTGAGGTAACATTGGTTTCCAACACTATACATGATTTCAGGGGAGTAGGCTCACATTTCCTCATTTGGTGTATGTTGCCTTGACACCTACACCCCACCATCCAAGCACCCAAGTTGAAAAGGAAAATTTTAAACAATATAACTATTGTTAATATTCTGATTTATTTTCCAGGAGGGAGAGAGTGAGGAGAAATGGAGAAGGGAAGGGGAGGGCACAGAAGAAAAGGTGAGGAGGTAGAGGAAGAGGAGGATGGAAGGGAAGGGGCAGAGGAAGAACGAAGGGGAGAGGGGAGGAAAACAGAAGAGGGTGGGAGTGGAAAATGAAGGGGAAAGGAAGGAGGTAAAGGTGAAGAGGGTGGGGGATGAAAAGATGGGAGGGGTGGGATGGAGAGGAGGAGGGGTCAGGGCGCCTTACCCAGAAAAGCCATCTGTATAAGCTGTTGTTTTCTTTAAAGTGTAGAATGGGTAAATGACCCAGGTATACCTTCCACTTTGACTCATTTTTTTCATAAAAGTGACATGCTCTCACATCTTCTGCACCACACATCTGGTTACAGTCAACCCGTGACATACTATAACCAATTAAGTATGCCTGGATTTTAAAGTTGTTATGATTTATTATTTTTAGCAATACCACTGTCATTTGGAAAGTGCCTTTATTTCTGAGGTTTCTGGGTCTGTCATGAATGGGTATGGCGGCAGATTTATTTACATCCTAGGCCCAGAAGGAAGACTATAAAAAAAGATACGTGTACTTGGTCCATTGCTGCAGAGGTTCCTGAATCAGATATATACTGTGCTTGCCAGCACAGATTGCGAGAGCACTTGGAACTTAATGGTATGCAACATATTATTGCATCTTAAAACACCAAAGTATTTTGCCTCTTCCTTCTATATATTTTTCCAATATAAAAGGAATACATGCCATCATAAAATGTTTGCAAAACAGAAGCAGAAACTGGAAAATTAATATCACTTGGAAGTACACCACATAAGCTTTGTGGATTGATGTATTTTTCTCCCAATTATTCTCTTGATATTTTTTTTTCCAGAGTTCTCAACTCAAATCAAAAGGTGAATTCAAGTTAGGTAGGTGAAAGAAAAGTGAACTGGAAAGACAGCTTATACTGCCCTTTTCACCTTTTCAATTAAGGCCTGTATGTGCGTGTATTGAGCAGCAGGGGTGACACCCATTTTTGCTTTGGTAAAGCAAGAATTCTGGAAATGCAGTCTGTGGTAGGGAATCCACCACCTCCACAGATGGATAGGCAGGGAGACCCCACAGATGGAGAGAGCAGGGAGACCCATGAGGTTTCCACATTCTTCGAGCTGAATGTTTATCCATCACACATACTCAACTAATG